ACATGCTAGCGTATTTCGGTATTGAAAAACAGCCAATGACTATGTCCCTGTTCAGCCTTAAGGAGAAAAACTGGCAACCACGCTCAATGTAACCTTCTTTCCAACATGACTGAGGCATTAGACTGTTTTGTGATTATTTCCCCGCAAATCTTTTCCATATTTTTCTAGGGATGTTTGATATTGTCAGTCTATCATTAATATCAGCATTAAAATTTATTATCAGAAAATATCGGTATCGGTTTTCAGTCTTTTAATGACACGAACTTCACATAACATACATATATATCAACCTCTTCAGCTATATTTCCTCTCTCTCAAATTTTCTAAATATGACAGATCTGAGGTAAAGTTTTTGAGATATTTTAGTTTAATTGGGAATGTGCGCTGTCCTCACAGTATGTAGCTGTGTATAGCTAGATGGCTAACAAATGACTAAAACAAAAACAAGATTCTTCACCCAGGGCTTGTTTTGTTGAGGATTTTTATAAATGTTTTATTAGCAAAGCTACAATACACAGAAAAGGACAAAGTACATTACTAACTAATACACACATAATATGTCACGCTAAGGGAGAATGAGATTCAGCTGCTGTTGGAGACACATAAAAACACTTTTCCTATTACCAACGTAGATTGAAGTAGTTTTCATTTTTCACAGAAACGATTAAAAATGTAAAGATGAATGATAGAAGATATGTGATGTTAGCAACCTAAAATGTTTTAGTTTTTCTTTTTTTATAAGAGGGGGACACAGCATATATTGGTATTGGTTTATATCAGTATCCAAAATTCAGAGTCAGCAATATTGGTATATCGGATATCGGTACAAAAATCCAATGTCGAGCATCCATTTATTTTACCTTCATTTATAAAGCGCCTTAAAATGCAAAACGCTGCACATAACAACTGACAACCAGCTACCCAAATTAAAAATGGCAATATAACCAGTGTTTTTCAAAAATAAACCACCATATAAGAGCTCTAACTCACTAGAGTAACAATAAAAATTATGCCATAATGTGAGTCAACCTCATTTAAATCTCTGATTGAATGCAGGATGGTAAAAGTGGGTTTTCAGGTGGGATTCAAAGGGGGTAAGTGCCTGACCTTCAAGGGCAAGACGTTCCACAACTGGAGTCCAGCAAGTCACCTCCTGACCATGTAACGTTCTGCAGATTCTTTTAAATCAAGTGTTAGAAAAAGGAAACATCACAAATTTGCATAATGACTGCAGCTGTGTTTGCCCTACATAGGCTCAGGTGGCGCTGCAGCATGCCTGAAGTTCTAGCGCCACGGATATAAAATCAGATTAGGTTTTTGAGAGTTACCAGACACCGGGACCACATGCATCCAGTGTTAGATGCTCTGCACTGGCTCCCAGTGCAGTACTGAGCACAATTTAAGATCCTGCTTTTTGTGTACAAGGCTCTTCAGGGCAGTGTTCCTCCTTACATTCCTGCTCTTTTGCACAGGCACGTCCCCTCTCGGTCTCTTCAGTCAGCTGATCAGGAGCTGTTGGTTATCCCCCGGTCAAAATACAGATCAAGGGGGGATCGTACTACCTCGGTTATGGGTCCAACTCTGAGGAACGAGTTGCCCTTGAGCGTTGGGCAGTCGCCATCTTAAGTCTCACTTTTATATGATAGCCTTTCTGCAATAGGGTTCACAACACTGGCTTGATGTTATGTTTTTTTTAATATCCTTTAATTTGTTTTTACCCATGTCTCTTGTTTTATTTGAATATCCTCATCTTTTATTATTTTACTGTCTTTTATATTTGCTTTCATCTCTTGTTTTTATTGTTTTAATGATCTTAAGATCTTTATTTTGTTCTTATCGTGTTCTTTATGATGATGTTCAGCACCCTGGGCTTCCAATAAGGTTGTGGAAGGTGCTTTATAAATACAATTGAATTAAATTAAATTTGATAATTATTTTCAACTATGTTGTTTTTGCAATGTTTGAGACCAAAGTTTAAAATTTAAATTGACTGTTTGTAGAGATAATCTTTTGAAATTTGTGGGCAACTGTAATTAGCCGATGCTTAGCATGACTGGCTTAATTGATCAACAGTTGAATGAAACATTTCTACGGTCCTTGAACGTACCTGTACAAATTCTCAATAAGAATAACACGTCTTTTTGTGGAAATTTCAAAATTATAATTTCCATGTTAATCAGAAATATATATATATATATATTTAAGAGATAACTGGACAAAAATCAATAATGGCAGGGTGCTTTGTTGACCATTTTTATAAGGTTCACTGTTGAAATTCAAGCAAACTAAAATTAAGTTGATGATTTTAATGTTTGGAAGAAAAATTAATCTTTTAATCGATATATTCAGTAACTTAGTTGCACTGTGTTCATTCATTCATTGTCCAGACTTTCCCATGAGCAGCAGAGGATTGAAGCTTGTGTGTCAGAGCTACACTTTCTGAACCGATGCTTTACAGATTGTTATCTTCATCTCTCAGCCATCATAAGTGCTTGTAGCGCTTTAAGCTGTGGTAAAATGGTCGTTCACCAGTTGGTGGATTAATAACATCTGTGTCAGTGGTGGACCAGAGATCAACTCATCATGGCTTTTTAGGATCACTTCTCCACCATCTGCATGTGTACTTCTTGTCTGGTGCTGCGTTTTCTAAACAAACCATCCATGCCCACTCTCTCTCTCAAAACTCCTCCCCCTCTTATCTTGTCTCTCCATATTTCTCATCCAGCCAATCTTCTGTATTCTGTTGTTTTACAGGAGCAGTTTTCCACTTCTTCTGTCATTCCGTAATTCCCTGCTGTTACTCAACAGCTGCACAACTCCAAGGCATTAATTATGGAGAACTTACCCTCACACACATCCCCAAACACACACTCGTATAACAGTCCTTCTGCAGTGTGTTCCTGCCTCGGGGGTCTATCTTTCAAGTTTTAACTCTGTTCCCTGCAGCAGTGTGAACTTATTTCCGAAGACGTCGTCTGGGAGTTTCTTCCCTGTGACTTATCCGTCTTACTTATTCATGAAATTCCAGGCATCCGTTACATAACCGATTGGCCCATTTAGTTGTAGGTTAACTTTGAATTTAACCAGACTTTATTTATATTATGAATACAGGATTATGCAATAGAAACAAGGGGAAATGTAGAAAAAAACAGACTTTATTTATATTGTTTATTTTAGGTTAACAGTTTTTACAGAAACGGTAATGGACACCTTTTACTGTAGCTTTAATCTTGGTCCTATTGTATAAAATCAAATGGTTACAGACAAAAGGCTACTTCTTCATGCTCCAGTTTGCCGTCTCAGCTAATTTTGTTCAAAAAGCAAAACTTATTGCCCGTGTTTACTTTCATTTTCAATATATTTGTCAGTAGGAGTTCAGCATTAGCTCCCCATTTCAGCATGACACCTCCCTCTGTTGTGCCATGGCAATAGCCGTTTAGAAGACATTACCGCAATATTACTACCAAGCGAGGCGGAACGAATGCCGCAAAATTCGCGCAACGCCACCCCGGCATGGCACTGTGGAACTGTACTGTGGAATTCGGTCGGTACCTTAAAAAGTACCGAATTCGGTACCCATCGCTACGTGTGATGTAGGGGGCAGGGTCCACCTGCTTATAAATACCCTGCTCACACATCATGCTTCAGTTTGATAACCAGTCTTCACCGAGCTTAGCTGAACATCGGTGCAACGAAGGTGTTTGTTCCTCTCCTTCAGGGAACAGTATTTATATGCATAACTCAAAATTCCCTTTCAGTCAATTCACTCAGTACAACACATATAGTATGGGACATATATACACGCCGTGCAGAGCAGCCATAGAAAATTGAGCCCAAAAGGTGATACTTTAATGTGAGCCTTGAGATCCAGCAGACAGAACAGAGTGAGCCATTGAAATGGCAGTCACATCCAGACAGTAAAACCGGGTAAAAGTGTGTGGTGAACACCAGCTGGCAGCAGCACAGAGGTCGCTCACTGGGACCGCTCTGAAAAGGGCCCAGGATGCAGTCACACCTCTAGTTGAGTGAACTCTCACTCCCTGAGGTAAACTGAGACCCTTGCTGGCATAAGCAAGAGAAATGGCCTCCACCACCCAGATGGAGAGTCTCTGTCTGGACAGAACTTTACCTCTGGCTGGATTGGCAAAACTCACAAACAGCTGAAGGTATTCTTAGACGATGCCCTCAAAGCATATGGTAGGAACTGCCTGTGTTCTAGATGTATCACCTCATGGAAGTAAGCTTCCGTGAGATTGATCGTTGCAAACCAGTTGCCTGGACCAACAACATTCAATAGTTGTCTCAAAGTCATTATTTTGACCTTGTACTTGTGGAGGTGCTTGTTTAGCATTCTTAGGTCTAGAATGGGATGCAGTTCACCTCCTTTATTCGGAACCACAAAGTAACGGCTGTACTACCTTTGTTCGTTTCCGAAGCTGGGACCACACATATTGCTCCCTTCACCAATAGGGTATTTATTTCTTCTCTCAAAACGGTTGCTGCTTCGATTCGCACGGTTGTGTGTAGAACTGAGTGGAAGCTTGGTGGACTTATGTAACCGGTAAGCCACAGCAACTGTTTTCTCTACACATGGGGATGGGGCACATGCGCACCAGTGAGCGAGATGCTCCATGATACGACTGACTTTTTTGTTTGTTTGTTTGTTTTCTCTTTATTACACATTTTTCACAGAACAAACAGTTGTGTGCCATGGAGAAAAAATGCTTGAGTGTGCATGGGGAATGCAGCACTACTTGGAGCTGGGGCCTCTGAACACATGAACTGCATGCTCTGAAGGCAGGATGGACCACGGAGCAAACAGAGGTGCTCCAGAGGTCCAAACAGAGATGGTTCATTGCTAGGACAAGTGCGTCTTCTCCCGTCAAGATGAAGAATCTTGCTTGAAGTTTGGGGGTGGGCCTTTGCTCTAGGCAGACTGTCAAGGAGCTTGTTACTAGGACTGTGATTGCTGAGGAACATCCCCAATGGCTGCAGGAATTGTTACCCTCTTAGTTGGTGGTGGGGTAGCCATTGGTTTTCATGAGCTCATACAGGTCCTTCTTCTGGCATCCCATCTGGGAATGATGCATCGTAGCGCCTTGGTTTGCTTCTTCCGGAGCTCAAACTTTGCCTGTAAAATGTCCAAGGACTTCCCAAAAAGCCCCTCAGTAGACACTGGTTCATCCAAATACACGGCCCTGTCTCTGTCCAAGACGTTTGAGAGGGTTAGCCACAGATGTCTTTGGGCTGCCACCTTTGATGCCATTACCCTCCCCAATGAAAGTGCTGCACAGCTGGATGTCTGGGGAATGTAGTCTGCTGCTACTCGAATCTCGTTCAGGAGAGGGGTCAGGGGCCTATCAGGTGGCACATGGTTGCCCAGTTCTGACCGGCACATGGCTTGGTATGTCTGTAGCATGGGAGCTGAACTCAGGTGGTCGCCAAGCATGATAGATTTTTTCTAGCTGGGATGCTGAGAATCTGTATTGCTTAGACGGCAAGGCTGTGGAGCCACTCAAACCCAGGTTGTGTGATGGTGCCAGCCACGCTGCCAGAGATGCTTCCATTGAGGGGAGACCAACCATTACAGCCTTCTCGGTGCCCTTGAGGTCTACATACTGAGCAAAAACAGGCACAGTAGTGTGTGTGGACAGCGACTTGTTCCAGGAGGACCTTAGTTCTGTCACAAAAGTCCGAGAGCATGGGCAGTTGGTTGAGCCAGCGGAGGAGAGGGCCACTCCACGTCTAGTTTCTCGGCAGCACGGCAGCAGAGAGGGATAAAGGAGAGGTTGTTCTGGCTTACCAGAGAGGCAGTGGTGACGGTTAGACATGCACACTGAGCCGCCAAGAAATGATCATCTCCTGACATGCTCTGGTCATCTGTGTGGATGTCCAGAATGTTGTTCTCATCTGCAGGACTCATTTGCAGAAGGGCTGAGGATTCTGGGGGAGTGAAAAGCTGACGGTGACTGGGAGAAGATAAGTGGGCAGGTAAGAGAAACTTCGTTAAACCTGAGAAATAAACAGAGATTAACAGGTGAGGGAAGAAAACATAGAAAGGACTAGGGAGACAGAGGACACAGGACAAGACAGAGGAGGAGTAGAAGGGTTCGACTGACCCACAGAAGAAGAGGGCGTGGAGCTTTTGCCCACCAGTAGTGACGAGGTGGCACTTATGGAACAGCTGCAGCGGGGACGGATGATTTAATTTTGTTCACTGGAGAGGAGGATGTAGAGGCTGTGATCTGGCCCAAAAGGGGTGATGAGGAGGCACCAGTCAGAATAGCTGCAAAGGTGAGGTTGGTAGCGAATTCAGCCTGACTAGCGGGAAGGATGCAGAGGATTTGATATGAGCCACTAGGAGTGAGGAGGTGGTGTCGACTGGATCACCAGCTGCTGTAGAGATGGCTGATTCTGCTCAACTCATCAAGGTGAGGGAGCCAGAATGGATTGCTGAAACATGGAACTGAGGATTTTACTTTCTGTGGGTTGAAAAAAACATTTGGAGGATACAGATTTTTTACGGTGATGTTTTGAGTTTGATAATCCCTCCTCTACTTGTAAACACAGTAAGCAGAGTTTTTGTCAAACCGAACATCCTCCCCCTTCCATGTAGAAACAAAAACTAGGGTCCACACCACCTCTTGTTAGAAAAACATCCATCCACACCTGACCACATTCATAGGCATGCCAACTTGTAGGCAGCAGTGGTTTCCTAATAGCTGTCCTTAAAATTGTTCATCACCTGTGGTCCTCTTCACAGAGCAGTGATGGAGCTTGTAGAGTGCTAAACCCCTGTTATTTATGTCCTCAAGCAAACTAAATATTTGCAAATCTTCACTTTGGTCAGAGGTTTTTGATAGAATCGTTTTTGATGCTGTGGATGTCAGGCCAGATCATAGAAAAGCATCTGGGTTTTGTGAGATACCCTGCTATGTGTGTGGACAAGGCTTAGAGGAGGTCCTTTCCAGAGTTTAGTTAGACTGTTTTACCTCCTACAAATACACATGAATATTTGCCACGAAAACAGATCAAAGAAAGAAAAAACGCTCCAACTAAATATACACTTCTGTTGTTGAAGCATTGAGAAATCTGTGGAATGCAGTTTTTCTCTTGATTCCATTTTCACTCGTTCACTCAGCTCTTTTCGAAAGTTTGTGTGTGCGATGTCTTGCGGGCTGAGTAGGTGCACATTACACAGAGAGATGGGGCCCACTGAGCAGAGAAACAGGAGGAGGGGGGAGGTGGGTGACGAAAGGAGGGAGGGGAGGTCTGTCTTCCAGGTCATACAAAAGAGTCAGTGTTTTCTCTCAAAGTGGGCTCAGCAAAGATGGCGGTGGACGCAAGAAAGTGAGAGGCCCTTTGGTCACTTTGTCCTCACGTAGCCTGTAATGCTGTCGTTGCTTGCACCCCCCATTGATCCTCACCCATCGGCCCACACAGCGCTTCTGCAGATTGTCTACGGTACAGCTGCAGCTCACTGGATAGAGCAATAACAAATGACAAGTATGCTGTACATAGTGAAAAATACACCTGTAACTGTGATAGCTGTGCGTACACAGTGACGTGAAAAGAGCTACCGCTCTTCATGAGACATAAAAGGAAGTTGTCAAAGTAAAGGGAGACTCTTAAGTTCAGGCTGAACCATTAATGTAGAGAACAGTCACGGCTCGGCGTGAAGTAGATTGGAGAGACGGTTGCGAAATAAATGTCCAGGAAATACATTTAAGCACATGAAATGTCTTCTGAAATGATGGAAAGTGTGTGTGTGTGTGTGTGTGTGTGTGTGTGTGTGTGTGTGTGTGCGTGTGCGTGTGCGTGTGTGTGCATGCGTGTGCGTGTGTGTGCATGCGTGTGTGTGTGCGTGTGTGTGCATGCATGCGTGTGTGTGTGTGTGTGTTTGTGCGTGCGTGGTGCGTGTTTAAAGACTACATTCCTAAGCCTGCTGAGGCGTAGCTTGGTGATTAATAGTAACTCGCTGATTGTTGAAGAACTGAAATTCCTCAAGCCCAGACACACACACACACACACACGCACGCACGCACACACACACACACACACACACACACACACACACACACACACACACACACACACACACACACACACACTAGTAATAAGCAACTCAGGTGTTCAGTGACGTATTGAGAACAGTGTAAATGCAGCTCGTGGATACACAGCTGCTCTTTTTGCTGGTAACAGAGGTGTTCACATGTGTGCTGGTGAACATGCAAGTGAAATAATGGCATCGCAGTATAGACCAGCTGTCTGTAGCTTACATCAGGAATTCAGGACATTGTAACACTATCCCATCTCTGGCTTTTTGTGACCCAGGTTCTCTAGTCTGCAGTCTTTCTGTCAGTCTAAAAGAGTCGGCGTGACTCTCATTTCCACTCCTATCCTTGAACGGTTCCTTAATACATCTTATTTCGTAATATTTTCTATGCTATCATCTGTTTTATTCACAGTATTAAAGGGGTATTTTTTAAATTTGTGACAAATTTATAACCTTAAATTTAGTGATGCACCGATAGGAAATTCTGGGCCGATTCCTATATTAATATCACTGTTATGGTCGAAAACCGATACCTACAGATTGCTTGAAACAGTAACACAAACAAAATCAAGCTGGAAAAAAATATTGGTTGTTAATATCTGCCTGTTTTTATTTTTATTTTATTTATTTTTTAATCAGACCAATACAGAGATGTTAAAAAATGACTAACATCATATATATTGATATCGGTATCTGCAAATAAAAAATAAATAAAAGTACAGATTTGTCATTTCAGTTTGCCAAAAACTTATAACCTTCTGACTTTTTCTGTGACAGCCAGCTTTTGAGTTTTGATTGTTTTAATACAATTAGAATCTTCCCCAAATTATACTGGAGTCTGCCTAGAAAATTCTTCATTTTTTTTTATTACTGTATGGATTTCAAGGCATTTTGGATTTTTAGTATAGTTGAACCTTATTTCTTTAGATTAAAATGAAGAAGATACTGTTAGTATGCTTTTGTTGTTCCTATACTGGAAGAAAGGTGAATTAAAAAATCTAAAAGGTCAGTGAACAAAAGGTTTATAATGTTGAAGCTTAGAATAAAAACATAACAAATGTCACTTTCTGTAAAAAATGTATTTTTTTGTGACACGATGACAAAAAAAATCCAGTTGTACACAGTCTATTTCTGTTCATGAAAGATAAATCTGTGTGCATATGTGTGTGTTTTACAGATAAACCTCTTCATCTCCTCTGTGTTTACGGTTGTTTTGTTGCTTTGGTCCCTTGCCTCTGGCTTGTACCAGTAGGAATTCCTGTTTCTGGTATCCTGGCAGGTTCCTTTATCACCGTCTCTGGTTTAGCAGAAGGGAAAAGTTCAGATGATCCACTTTGTGCTTTTGGTCTTTTGGTCTGGATCCTTTTCAGTGAGGTGGTGTCAGGATGAAATGTCTTGGGAGGGATGCTGGAACCAGAAGCACACAGTGATGACATACATTCATTTAGGTGCTGATCGTCTGTGAGGAGATACAGCAAATTATTATTATTATTATCTATCCATTCATCCATTTTCCATACCCTCTGGTCCATGCAAGGTCACAGGGGGCTGGTGCCTATCTCCAGCAGTCCCCGGGCAACCAGGCGAGGTACACAGGGGCGCAGATAGGATTTTCAAACTGGGGGGACAAAGTTCCAATGTACCCTCCCCCAAACACACACACACACACACACACACACACACACACACACACACACACACACACACACACACACACACACACACACACACACACACACACACACACACACACACACACACACACACACACACACACACTATTGCAAGCGCCTTAACTAGAGCTCAGTCAGTTTGTGTAATTTCCTCCAACGGTTTACGTAAAAACTAACTATTATATACGCGTTTGAAGCCATTGTGCAGTGGAACGCTGGCAACAAAGCTCTGCCTGATCAACACTATAAATGATAAATGATCCGCACTTGTGTAGCGCCTCTCAGAGTAAGGACTCCAAAGCGCTTTACACTACAGTGTATCATTCATCCATTCACACACAATCACACACTGATGATGATGAGCTACGATGTAGCCACAGCTGCCCTGGGGCGCACTGACAGAGGCGCCCCACTATTTAATTCAGTCATTTGTTATTCTTCCAATCAAGTACTAACCAAAACCTCATGCTTTTTGCAAAACATTAAATGATTTTCAGCATACCAATCTTTACAGAAAACATAAAAGCCCTAAAAAACTGCACATAAAATATAATAAAAAACAATATTCACTCATCACTTAGAGCAGTAGTTCCCAAACTTTTCAGCCTGACCAACAAATGTTCCTTCGTATTTTTACGTTATTTAGAAATTTTCATTACTTGGAAAGTTTTTATTTATATATAAATATATAAATCTCTTTTTAAATTTTATATTTTACTTTTTTTTTTCCGATTATGTGGCACACTTGACTTCCATACATAACGCATCGGCATCTGCCCCTTTTTACGGCATTTCTTTCACATTGTCGTTACATCTGTCACGTTAGCAGTGTTTGTACCATCATTTCTACATCCATCACGTCCCAGAGAAGGTTAAACAAACATCAAACCCAACGTTTGGAGCTTGTAAGCTCCACACACCTCTCGTGCAGCGCCAGCTGTCTGATGCTGCAGCAGCGTCAATCTTCCCGGCTGGATGAGTGAATTTCTTCATCAGAGTCAATATTCTGCTTCATAATCAGAGTCAGTCATTACCAGACAAAGTGATCAGTCAACAAAGACCAGACCTGCCGGCAATTAAACGTTTTATCTAATATTTGCGCTCCTCATGTTGCGCGCATCTCCTCCTCTCCCCGACTGGGAGCCTCTAGGCGGGAGGCATTTTTCAAACTCTAAAAACTCCCAAACTTTGCTCAGCCTGAAGGTTACACATCTCCACTATCTTCTGGTGTAAAGTAGTAACTTCATGAGGGATCATATTTG